GCCGCACTCACTTCGTCAATCACAACCAAATGCACAGAAGTCTGTGGAGAAGGCTTCAAAGGAAGATCTTGCTCAAAGATATGCCTCGTCCGAGTGTATCCTAAAGGACATCATGAAAGGGCAGTAAGGATGTACGCCATAATGGACGACCAAAGCAACAAGTCTTTGGCAAGGTCAGAGTTCTTTGATCAGCTAAGCGTAGGTGGGAATTCCTTTCCATACACGCTCAGAACATGCTCAGGACTGATGGACACAGTGGGAAGAAGAGCGAGTGGCCTCATGGTGCAAACCATGGATAGCACCATGAAGCTAGCCCTTCCTACAGCGACAGAGTGCAATGAGATACCGGATGACAGGAGTGAGATTCCCACGCCCGAAGTCGCACGTCACCACCCACACCTGAAACCCATAGCAGAGTTCATCCCGCGATTGGATCACATGGCACAGATTTTACTTCTGCTTGGCAGGGACATGCTGAGAGTCCACAAGGTTCGTGGTCAACGCAACGGACCTCACGACGCTCCCTACACCCAGAGACTCGACCTAGGATGGGTCATCGTAGGTGATGTTTGTCTCGATGGAACACACAAACCAGACCGCATTAGCACATTCAGAACAAGTGTCCTCACGAAGAACAAGTGTCCTCACGAATGGACGCACATCGCTCTTCAAGCCATGCCCCAACCACTTCACGCTGGAAGAGAAACTCAAAGAGAGAAGTGAAGGCTGTACCGTGCAGACTTACAAAGAAACCACCATGCTGACCGCAACTTCGCTCGTACATCCACCATCTTCACTGGATTTTGTTCCTCCATGTTTCTCCAAGCCAGTCCTGACTGACAAGAGGAAGCCAAAAACGAAGCTACTGCTCGTCGCTCTGCTGGTGGTCGTGGCGGTGGTCGCTGCGGCCGTGACCTCTCCGTTCCTAGACCCGGAGCTGTCGTCCGAGTGGGAATCCTGGAAGGAGTTCCATGGCAAGGCCCCACAACCGGAACATACCACCCCAAGGCTCGAGCTGTGTGGAGCCGTTCTTGCTACAGAGGTGGCGAAACTGATCTTAGACGAATTGGACGTCAAACTGGACGCAGTCGAGTTCTACACGGACAGTAAGGTCGTACTAGGCTACATAAACAACCAAACCAGAAGGTTCTACACCTACATCAGCAACCGGGTGGAACACATCAGGAGATCGACGCAGCCGGAGCAATGGAATTACGTTCCAACTGACCAGAATCCAGCAGATCTCGCAACTAGGTCCGTCCCTGCATCTCTGCTGAAACAAACCATCTGGCTGACGGGTCCAGCGTTCCTCTTACGACGAGACGGTCGCCCATGTACTACCAAAGAGACCTTTGGACTCATAGAGCCCGAGTCAGACAAGGAGATTCGTCCTCAAGTGACAACTTTCGTAACAAATGTGCGACCAAGAAATCCACTGAGTCCACACCATTTTAACATTTCTCGAAATGGACGACGCTTGTGTGAGCGATAGCATATCTAACGCGTATCGCAGACTGCTTCCACTGCCCGATGAGAGGCACCACTGGTAGCTGCAATGGATGGCATCACTGCACAGTGCCACACACTGAAGACGAGCTTTCCAGAGCAAGGAAATCAATCTACCGCTGTGTGCAACAGGCAGCTTATGCAAGTGAGATCAAGGCCATCAACAAGGGAGAGGACCTTCCTAGGGTCAGCACCCTCAGGGAGCTAAACCCCAGAATGGACAAAGACGACTTGCTCAGGATCGGTGGTTGGCTAGGGAATGCAAAATTAGATGCGAATGAACGAAACCCCCTCATAATCCCAAGCCAGAGCCACATCGCAATCTTATTTGTGCGCCACTACCATGAGAAGGTCAAGCACCAAGGTAGGCACTTCACAGAAGGAGCAATCCGATCTGCAGGGCTGTGGATCGTTGGAGCAAAGAGGTGCATCGCCAGCACAATCCACAAGTGTATCAGGTGTCGTAAGCTACGTGGAAAACAGGAAGAACAGAAAATGGCAGACCTCCCAGCCGATCGACTCAGTGTGGAACCTCCCTTCACCTCTGTAGGGATCGACGTGTTCGGACCATGGACAGTCATCTCCTGCCGCACCAGAGGAGGGCTCGCGAAACGCAAATGTTGGGCAGTGCTGTTCACCTGTATGAGTACACGAGCAGTGCACATCGAAGTCATCGAGTCCATGGACTCTTCGAGCTTTATAAATGCACTCCGGAGATTCTTCGCCATCAGAGGGCCAGCCAAGCAACTCCGTTCTGATTGTGGAACCAATTTCACTGGAGCATGTAAAGAGCTTAAGATCAATACGGAGAATGTCGAAGATGATTCTGTCAGGAAATACCCTAGTGACCAAGGCTGCACATGGATCTTCAATCCTCCCCACTCTTCGCATATGGGTGGAGCCTGGAAACGCATGAACGGGATTGCTCGACGCATTCTCGACTCCATGCTATGTGATGTCGGGTCCACACGGCTCTCTCACGAGGTCTTGACCACTCTCATGGCCGAGGTCTCAGCCATAATTAATTCAAGACCCCTGATCCCGTCTCAACCGACCCGGAGTCACCATTCATCTTGACTCCTGCTACACTTCTTACCCAGAAGACAGACGTGCTCACAGCATCTACCGAGGAGGCCAGCACTGCAGACCTCTACAGACGTCAATGGAGACAAGTGCAGAGCTTCGCAAACACGTTCTGGCGTCGCTGGAAAAACGAGTACCTTGCGACACTCCAAGTGCGCAACAAGTGGCAGTCTAACAGACCAGACATCCAAGAAGGCGACCTTGTCCTACTGAAAGACAACCAAGCCAAAACGGAATGAGTGGCCAATGGGCCGCATCCTCAAGTCGATTCCAAGTGCCGATGGAAAAGTTTGAAAAGTCGAAGTTATGATTGCGAAGCAAGGTGTCGCAAGAACTTTCGTCAGGCCCATAGTCGAGACAGTACTACTTCTCTCACAAAGATATGGACAAATAAGCTGACCCGTTGAAGTTGTTATACATTTGTTTAGATAGGAAATAAATGGTGGTATCTCTTAGATACCAGACGGGGAGTGTTCTGCCTCACGGCAGGAGTTTTGCCTCACGGCAGATGGGGGCGGGGGCGTATGTACACAGGAATTTCCTGTTTTTATGCTAATTTTGGTCACGTGACCAGGAAGTTGCGATTTAAGATTCCCGCTCGACCACGCGGGCGTCGGCCATTACACACGTAATTCAAGATGGTGGCACACATCGCGTCCCAGTGAAGCCAGCCATAATATTGGCAATGCTGTTATAATGTTAGAATGACCGTTATAAGGATGTATTTGCCTTTATAATGCTGTTAAACTGTTATGCTAAATACGAGGCCTAGTTAACAACAAAGCCTGCAACTTTCCTTATTGTGAATGTCGAGTCAAACTTGTACCCAAGTAACTATATTGCGATCTGGAGAGCAAGGATGACAAAATGTCTCATTCATAGTGCAGTGTTATGTGTAGTACTGTACATCTGGGGTGCAGTGTGATGATAACACGGTGTGCCTTATGTATCACAGCAGCTTATGCTCTTGTATAGCTATTCAGTGGTAATGTAGGTGCCTGCCCCCTCCAGGATCTATTGTTTAGAAACATGTTATCTGGGACAATGTTCTGGTGCTGTGGTGTTCATTGTGTTGGTGTTTCCGGGTTATAACAGATGCTGTATCTGTGTTTTCTCACCAGTTTTACCTCGTTAAACTCAATAAATGACGTTTGGAGTCGGACGTTCATCCTGGCTCCGAGGGTTTATTGAACGCAAGGTTAACTACTCAGCTAGCGGTGCAACGCAGCGCACAGTGAGGCCGAGACAGTTAGAGAGACACTGAGAGAGAGTTACAGAGAGAGAGACAGATAGAGACAGAGAGAGAAACAGAGACTAATTCAGCACTTAAGCGGTTGTGTGTTGGAGAGTAAACCCAATTAGTGGGAAGGGTGTGGTGATGGTGGGGAGGTGGTGGGGGTGGTGGAGAGAGGGTGGTCGTAGTGGGTGGGTGGTGGTGAGGAGAGATGGTGGGGGATAAGTGTTGGTGGTGTGGTGGTGGGTGGGTGGTGGTGGTTTCGACCGTGGTGCTATTGGGCAGTTGGAGGCAGTCGCCCTCCAGCAACAACGAAGGGCAGAGGAGCGATGCTCACAACAACGAGTGGAGCGCCGGGTGGCTAAAGCAGAGCGAGTTGGCAGAGTATTGGGCACAGCTGGTGGTTCATCTCTCCCATGACCTCATGTCAGCAGCGAGCCTTCGACATTTCACGTGGCAGCGTTAAAGTGCACCTGGCCTGGCACAGGCGCCATGGTGACGTCACCATCACTTACTGGCGAATGGCAGGGTATTGGATTGGTGGGTGCTGGTGATGATGGTAGTGGGTGGGTGGTAGTAGTGGGTGGGTGGTGGTGAGAGGGTGGTGGTGGAGAGAGGAGGTGGTGGTGTTAGTGGGGAGGGTGGTGGGTTGGTGGTGGTGGTGGGTGGATGGTGGGTGGTAGTGCGTTGGTGGTGGTGGTGTGGAGAGGGTGGTGGTAGGTGAGAGGGTGGTGGTTGGGAGAGGAGGTGGTGGTAGTGGGGAGGGTGGGTGGATTGGGGTGGGGTGGTAGGGTGGTGGTGGTAGTGGGGAGGGTGGTGGGTTGGTGGTGGTAGTGGGTGGATGGTCAGTGGTGGTGCGTGGGTGGTGGTGGTGTGGAGAGGGTGGTGGTGTGGAGAGGGTGGTGGTGGGGAGAGGCTGGTGGTGGGGAGAGGAGGTGGTGGTAGTAATGGGGACAGTGGGTGGGGGTGGGGTGGGGTGGTAGGGTGGTGGTGGTGGTGGGGAGAGGGTGGTGTTGGGAAGAGGAAATGGTGGGTTCGGGCGAGCAGGTGGGTGGATAGTTGAGTGATGGCAAAGCTGCAGGCAAGGACATTCAGAACTAGTTTGTTGCTGCTGCTGTGAGTTCACAGCCAGGAGCAGCCTCATAATCTCAGTCATGATGTTTGTTGTTGTTGGATTGTTGACTGCACAGCTGGCCAGGTCCCACTCACGAGATGGGAAAGGCGAGGATCTTGAGCGCCACCAGAGTCTGCGTCTTGTGGTCGAGACACCGCACGACCACGCCCTGCCCGCCCTTCCCGATCTTCCTGCCCAGCTCAAATCGGTAGTTGAAGTGCTCGTGTTCGACCTGCAGGGGGTCACCGGGGGGGGGGGGGGGGGGAGAGGGGAGGAGGTCACAGGCAGATGATCAGGATGAGGGTCACGGTGAATGTGGTCAGGGGGGGGTCACGAGGAGGTCAGGGGGTCACGGGGAGGTCACGTGGAGGTAGGAATGCTTGTGCAGGAGCTGCAGGGGGTCACCAGGGGGGAGGTCACAGGGAGGTGGTCAGGGTAAAGGTCAGGGTCCAGGGGGTCATGGGGAGGTGAGGGTGGGGGGTCACGTGCATCTTTGTGGGTCTAGGTCTCTGTGGATCTCTATGGGTGTCTCTGTGGGTCTCTATGGGTGTCTCTGTGGGTCTCTGTGGCTCTGGGTCTCTATGGGTCTGGGTCTCTGTGGGTCTCTATAGGTCTTGGTCTCTGTGGCTCTCTATGGGTGTCTCCGTGAGTCTCACAGGGATGTAGTTGTGGGTCTTTATGGGTCTCTATGGGTATCTATGGGTGTCTCTGTGGATCCTTGTGGGTCTAGGTCTCTCTGGGTCTCTATGTGTGTCTCTGTGGGTGTCTATGTGTCTCAGTGCGCCTCACAGGGATGTAGTTGTGGGTCTCTGTGGGTCTCTATGGGTGTCTCTGTGGATCTAGGTCTCTAAGGGGGCTTATGGGTGTCTCTGCGTCTCCTTGAGCCTCACAGGGATGTAGTTGTGGGTCTCCATGGATGTCTCTGTGGGTCTCTGTGGGTCTCTGTGGGTCTCTGTGGGTCTCTGTGGGTTTCTCTGTGGGTCTCTATGGGTGTCTCTATGGGACTCTATGGGTGTCTTTGTGTCTCTGTGTGTCTCACAGGGATATAGTTATTCTCGATGTCATCATATCCGTGGTTGCCGATGCCTCCTCGCTTCGTTGCCTCCTGGCCCTTGTCCAGAGTAAAGTACCAAATCTCCTCCATCGTGGCCAGCTCAAGCTTCTGGCGCTCGGTGATGTAAGGTTCAAATAAACTCAGGATATCTGCACTCGTGACAGCAACAACATCAGCATCAACATCAACACCAGCAGCAGCAACAACAACAGCAAAAACAACATCAACAGCAACAACAACATCAACAACACCAAGAATGAAAAACAACATCAACAACAACGATAAACAACATCAACAACAACTATGACAAACAACAACAGCAACAATAACATCATCTATAAACGAATTATCATTCGTAGACACACACACCGGGTGACGGCACCCCCCCCCCCCCCCCCCCCACCGAAGTGGCCGGTATCATCGGCAGGTGGAGACCCCTACCCACATAGAGACCCATACTCATATAGAACCAAAGAGACCCACAGAGATCCATAGAAACCCATACTCATACAGAGCCCTACAGACCCACAGAAACCCATACTCATATAGAACTATAGAGACCCATACTCATATATAACCATAGAGACCCACAGAGGCCTATATAACACCAGAGACCCATAGAGACCCATAGAGACCCGTTCCCACATAGAACCATGCCCATATAAAACCATAGAGACCCATACCCATAGAGAACCATAGATACCCATAAAGACCCATATTCATATCGTCATACCCATATAGACCCATACTCAAAAAGAACCATACCCATATATAACCATATTTATTTCGAGCCATAGAGACCCACAGAGACCCATAGTCATATAGGACCACAGAGACCCAAGGAGACCCATAGAGGCCCACAGAGACCCATACTCATATAGTCCTACAGATGCCCACAGAGACCCATACTAATATAGAAATATAGAGACCTACTGAGACCCACATCAACCCACAGAAACCCATGCTCATAAGGACCTATAGAGATCCAGAGACTCATATGAATCATAGAGGCCCACTAGGACCCACAGAGACCTGTAGCAACTCACAGAGACTCAGATATACCCATACTTTGGGTGTCTATGGGTGTCTCTGTGGATATATATATGGGTCTCTGTGGGTCTGGGCATCAGTGGGTCTCTGTGTACATACGTATGTTGAACTTATTTCACAACGTACGTAGCCAACCGTGCTAAGGTGTGGGTCTCTGTGAGTGTCTCTATGGGTCTCTACGGGTCTGGGTGTATGTGGGTCTATGGGTCTCTGTGGCTCTCTGTGGGTGTCTATATGTGTCTATGGGTGTCTCTGTGAGTCTCTGTTTATGGGTGTATGTGGGTCTCTATGTCTCTATGGGAGTCTCTGTGGGAGTCTCTGTGGGTGTCTCTGTGGGTGTCTCTGTGGGTGTCTCTGTGGGTCTCTATGGGTCTGGGTGTCTGTGGGTCTATGGGTCTTTGTGGTTCTCTATGTGTCTATGAGTGTCTATATGTGTCTATGGGTGTCTCTGTGTGGGTCTCTGTGTGTGTCTATGGGTTTCTCTATGTGGGCCTCTATGTGTCTATGGGTGTCTCTGTGTGTCTATATGTGTCTATGAGTGCTTATGTGTGTCTATGAGTGTGTTTCTGTCTATGGTTGTTTCTGTTGGCCTCTTGGTAAAGCGGTCACTGCGTGGATTTTCTCTCCAGGTCCTCCGGTCTATTGCCACCCTCCCCATTTAGATATCAACAATTGAACCTTATGGTGGGACCCCGGGGTCCCGAATAAACGGAAGTCAAACCCGTAAGAATTATTTTATTTTTTGGGACTCCGTCCCACCGCGCACATAAACACCACGACCCACCTGGTGTGGATCATTCTGTTGTCATGTCGCCCAAGCGCAGCGCGGACGAATGCGCAGAACAAATACAACTTTGAAACTTTGATTAGCGCATCGTGCAAAACTCGTAGAGTGGAATAGATTGCCGTATCGTTTGCCTTCAACAGTAATAAAATAACGTCGCAACACAGTTTTGATATCAGCCCACTTGCTTGAGCTGCTTTCATTTGAGCTGCTATATATTTTTTTTCCTTTTATGATATTTCTGCTGCTTCTCTCTCCTCCCTCTCTCTCCTCTTTCTCTATCCTCTCTCTCTTTCTCTCTCATCAATCTCTCTCTGTCCTTCTCTCTTTCTCTCTCTCCTTTCTCTTACCTTTGGGTGATTTGCTGCAGATTGTTCCGCTGTCGGAGTCCAGTGCACTCCACATGTTTTTAGGCGCTTTATCGTGACTCATCTACACACACATACACACATAATACACATACATACATATACACACATATATACACACACATATACATACACACACATATACATACACAACAACAACAACCGCCATTCATCACTAAGTGGCGGTGACATCACCACGATGCTTGTGCCAGGCCATGTGCACCTTGAGGCCACGTGAAGTGTCGAACGCCCACTGGCAGGAGGTCACGGGGCAGACCCAGATGCCACGGCTCGACTGACTGAGATGACTGGCTGATGCACCACCTGTGCCCCCTACTGTGCCAACTTGCTGTGCTTTAGCCACCCGGCGCTCCACTCTTTGTTGTGAGCGTCGCTCCTCTGCCCTCTGTTGTTGGAGGGCGACTGCCTCCAACTGCCCTCTAGCGTCCTTCACGAACCTCCTCCACAGAGGCCCGATCTTGACACCGCTGGCACCAGTCATCGGCAAGTCCACTCAGCTCCATATCCTCCTGTACCACGTCACTCCATCTATTCTCTAGCCCGTTCCGTGCCCGTTTAGCCCCCTCGATCCGGCCGAACAAAAGCTGTTTGGGCATGCGGTGATTGGGCATGTGGGCTACATGGCCCAGCCAACGCAGTCTTGCCTGCCGGAGGTGCTCACCGATGGGACTTTGTCCAGATCTTTTGAGGATTTGTGAGCTCTTCACACAATTCAGCCTGGTTAAATTCAGGATTGATCGTAGGCAGGCCAGCTTAAATGTTTCTAACCGGCGAAGATGTTCCATTAGGGGGGTCCACGTTTCGCAAGCGTAGAGAAGGGAGGGAATGACTGTGGCCGAGAAGACCCGAAGCTTCGTGAAGAGTGACAGACCAGATAGCTTCCACACAGCGTTACGCAACCGATTAAAAGATAATGCCGCTCGACTGATTTGGAGTGATACCTCTGCTGTTAAACCGGAGCCGGTCATAAGCACACTGCCAAGGTATGGGAAACTCTCCACTCTCTCCACAACTACCCCATCACTGATTGGGAGTTGTGGGGGTGGAGTGCCCGATGGCACAAATACCCAGGCAGGTGCTTCGTTTTGGTGGGGCTGATCGTAAGGCCCCACCTCTTAGTGGCACACTCCAGTTTCAGCAGCAGCGCCTCCAACTCCTCCTCTGAGTTAGCTGCCGTCGGCATACATAACGTGGTTTACCAATAGGGAGCCATCCCTTGACCGCAACCGGGCATCGATCAGCCTCCCATTGTATCTGTACCAGATGGAAAATCCTCCGGTACAGCTACTGAAGGCTTCATAAACTACGTGGTCGAAATAGATGTTAAATAATGTTGGAGCCAGAGGACATCCCTGTCGTACCCCCAGATGAACAGGGAATGGCTCTGACTCCCAGCCATGTAGTTTTACCCGGGCCTGCTCACCATCATGAAGGTCCTTAATGATCATGAGCAGAGGGTCAGGGACTCCGAAAGCACGAAGAACAACCCAGAGCCCAGGCCTACTGATGGTATCATAGGCCTTGACCAGGTCAATTAAGCAGAGATATAGGTCTTGTTGGATTCTCTACGGACAGAAAATATGGCATCTGTGCAGGACCGCCCTTTCCTGAAACCACATTGGGGCTCCACAAGCCTCTCCTCAGCGTGCCTAGCAAGGCGATGTTGAATAATCCTTGCCAGGACCTTTACCGGCACACTGAGGAGTGTGATGCCCCTGTAGTTGTTAGGTACTGTGCAGTCCCCCTTCTTAACTGGGCAGAGATGATCTCCCAATCCTGCAGGACCTCTCCAGTAGCCCAGACTGTTGTTATGATGTCATGTAGGGCAGTCTGTGCACAAACGCCACCCTCCCTCAGCATTTAGCTTGGGAGATCATCTCTGCCCGGTGCCTTTCCTGGTCTCAGTACTTCCTCAATGGATGGCACCTCAGCCAGCCACTCACAGGGAGTGACTTCCTCCTCCAATATTTGAGGCACCGCAGCCTCAGCAGGGTCATCCCTACTTTGTCCCATGATGTTTTCCAGGCTGAGAGATTCCCCCTCCCCCAGGACCTCACAGAAATGCTCAGCAAATCTGCAAACCTGTTCCTGGGGGTCAAAGATTGGATCACCGTTCTTTCCCCTAATGATGGTAATAGGTGTGGCGCTGCAGGTTACATTTTTGATGGAGTTAAATAGAGGGCCATTGAGGAAGACTCCATCTCCTCAGCAACCCATTACCACCACCCATCCTTGCAGCGCCTCATGGCTCTCCGAACCTCCGAGCAAAGGCTGTGGTAAGCCTCCTCATTCTCTGACGTGGGATGCTGTAGCCGATGAGAGTGGGCCTGTTGCTTTTTCTCAACCATCCTGAACACCTCCTCTGTCAGCCAGGGTCGCTGGGGAGGTCTGGACCGCGTACCAAAAACAGCCATTGCAGCTGCATGAGTCACAGTCCTAAACCTCGCCCATTTATCCTCGACATCAGGAGGAGTGGGGGATGATGCCAACCCCAGCCGCAAGCGATGATGAAATTCTCGCTTGGAACTTCCATCAGCTAGCTGGGACCAGGCCACCTTAGGTTGGAATGGGGTCCTGGGTGTACACCCACCACCGGAGTGGAAGAATGGCAGGCACATCTTACAGATGACAAGTCGATGGTCAGAGGGCAGATCAGCTCCACGGTAGGTCCTGGTGTCAAGGACATGGGCTCACATCCGCTGGTCTATCACTATGTAGTCCAGCAGATGTTCTTGCTGGGACCTGGCATGCATCCATGATGTTGTGTGGATGTGCCGATGCCAGAACAGCGTGCTGGTAATTACAAGCCCATGGGCTGCACAAAAATATAGCAGCCTCCTACCGTTGTTATTGAGCTGATCTGGCCCATGCCTTCCAA